AAATTATTATGGGAAGAAGGAGTGCTCACCATACAACCGCCGGTTTTCAGCGTTTTTCCTGTAGTCGTATATACATTTTGATAATAAATGAACTAAAAAAAATTATATATGAGTTTGTTTTATTATGTTTATTGAAGTTATTGAAAAGCTTTGTGGTTTGAATGATTTACTGAAAGAACTATGAAAAGCCACCAAAACTTAGATTTTGGACTAGCCTATCACAAGTCAACATGATATGACCTATTAAGTTTGTGGGTCATATTGAGTTGCATTATGGTAATTCTTTTTAGTATTAGATCAGAGATTTTAGGGAACTTATTGTACAATAGAGTTATACAACTTGATATGTAATCGAGTGAGATAATTTTAGGTAACATTGGGTATTCATTTCTATTTGCTTTCATGTGCATGTTTATTTAGTTGTATGTTTTGTGTGGTTATTTGATGGATCTTCCAAACATCAATATGACAGATGGGAAAAGTGCCAGTTAGAAAGCATAAGTACGGAGTACTACTCCTACTGTCAGTTCTTATTACATTTCATAGTTTGTTAGTATGGTAGCCCAGCTAATAAGTGAGGTTCAAAGCAAGATTTCTTCTATTATATTTGATGATGTTGACATGCACATATATTTTTGAGAATGAAATATTTGAGATTTGAGTGCATTGTTGAACCCAGAGTGGTAGAATATTAGTTGATGAGGTTGAAAAGAACTTTGATGGGATACAATATCCTCCTAAGAGGAAAGTTCTATTGATTATTTTATTGTTAGATGAGGAGGTTGAGTGCCGGTGGTTGGGCCATCCTATAAGCAAATTTGCACCCCAAAATGCATGACTAATAACTTAAAATGTCTGTATCGAACTGAAAGCAATCTTTGTGACATCTACTTCTTTTATCTTCACTTGATAATATCTAGATCTTAGATTAATCTTCAAAATTATAGAAAATCTTGCAAGTTGATTAAACAAATAATCGATCCTTGGCAAAGGGTATTTATTTTTAATTGATATTATTCAATTCCATGTAATCAAAATTTATGTGCAATGTACCGTCCTTCTTTACAATAGAATATATACTCCCCATAGAGACATACTGGCACGAAAAAAATCTCTGTCAACTAGCTCTTAAAATTATATCTTCAACTCCTGAAGCTTCGTAGATGTCATCTTATAAGAATACATAAGAAAAACTCTATTTTATAAAGTAAAGGGGTGTTGCAGGAGCTATTTCAAGCTTTAATTTCCTTGCAAGTTAATTGATTATGTTCATTGACATTTGTTTGTATGCATGTATTGGCTTGCTTTTCAACTTTTGAATAAACATGAATTTCAATGCTATGTCTTCTGATTGGTATGCACTTTAATGTATTATAACTGATTACAAACACTTATAAATCACTTTGAATGTAATCCTTTTCGATTATTTTGTGAACTTTAAAATGATACATGTAAAGGAAAATGTCATTTAATTCCTTGTGTATTATTTAATTATATGAATAGTTATTCTTAGATATCACTATGAACGTCATATGTATACGAATTAAGAGATTGAAATGCATCAAATTATAACACTTCTCTCTGAGTTACATTGGAGATATGATTTGGATAATGAAGCTATGGAGCATTCTGTCGTCTCCATTTCTGTCAAATGGAGGTGCTATGATTGGTTAAATCATTAACTTACTCCGATGAGGTAACTATGTAAAGCTTAGAGCCTCCTAGGTCTTCTAAGCCATACAAGTGAGTAGATCTCCTAAACTTTTAGGTCCTTGTGGAACCCTGCACTTAATTTTCAAACCCAACATTAATTTTGTTCATTAGCGCAAAAATTAAGTGTACGTAGTATTGATTAATCAGCAGCCCCCCCTGCGCATTTTTATATTTATTTTTTTTTAAATCATAATGTGTATAATAATAAATAAAATAAGAAAACATATAAATAAAAATAAAATTCTTTTAGAGAGCATAATAGCATTTGATTTCAAGGGTCTATAACCAATATTAAATAATTAGTCTTGTTCCTCGTGCTTATTGTGACAATGTCTTGCTTGCAAAAGAAGGTGAAGTTGAATATACATAGGTACAAATGTATATGCAAAGAGTCAAATATAAATGTAACATTTTAAGAGTTGTAAAGATTTTAAAGGTATTTGCTTATGTACAAATATAGGAGTCCAAAAGATAATTTCCTCTCTTTTCAAGGGAATTCTCTTTCGGAATTTCATAAGAAAATATGAAACTTGAAGATGATAAGCAAGTGCATTTAAATCTGCATGTTTTAAAAGTATAAAAACCCACGTATATTGTGGTGGAGCTTGGCCATCTTACTTTTCTATTGACCTTGAGTTGTAATTATGTTCTTAAATAAATGAATAAAAGATTTCTATGTATGCATTTATTTCATGCATAATCATACATGACACTAGGTAGAGTCATTTGCATATTTTATATTGTATTGATTACACTCTCTAAATTAAATATCCTCGCTATTTAGGATTAGAGTCCTCTTATCTTGCATATATATGACGATTGATTATGTTTAGGATGTTAGCTGACAGCTCACTCTAGGCAAACATAAGTTCAAATTGTACACCCTCAGTGTGTCTTCTTTAAATCCTAAATGAATTATAGGTCTATAGTTCATTCTTAAATATTAAATCAATCTTTGATATTTTAAAGACAATTTTTTTAATCAAATCGTCATACATTTGAAAAAGATCTAAATATCATTAAAGATAAAGAGAAGAGTTTATCTTCTTCAAAATAGAACCTATGAACCCCCTATGTGCACCAAACTAAGAATAGAATAAAATAGCATCCTTAATTAAAAAATTTCCTAGGTTGAGGTCCAGGATCTACCACGGGGACATACGCCACCGACACCAATATCAAATAAACTCCATACAAGCTGATGTATTGAATTGGAAAAATTTTATGACTATCGAGTTATATATATTATTATTCATCGAGATGTGTAGGCGAAAGCTGCCATTCTCCATAAATAATCGTATGTATAATTTCATCTACTTCTCCAATCAGCCTGCTTGCATAGAATATAAAGGTTTGCAACTGTTTTATCTTATTGGATAATGCGATCGTACTCTTTATATTTTAAACCCCACGAGTAGCTAGTATACTTTTGGAGACCCACATATTCATACTAGCAATCCATCACTACTGAGTACCTAATAAATCATTTTCAATCAGATTGGCCCTCTTCACCAACTTTGAGAAATATGTAATGTGAAATAGAACTAGCGACTATCTTAGACTATTTAGGAGCCCTCTTAAAAATTTGTAGTACTTTTCCTTAGAAGTGTTAACCAACTGTAGAGTATACCTAGCTAAGGTAGTGAACTCTACCTTACATTGCATAACTATTGTGATCCTCTAGACATGCCTAAAAAAGTCTCCTAAATTGTTGATTTGCTGATAGAGGCACAAACCATGCTAGAAAATCATATGTAAACTCTTTTCAATAGATCAAAGAGTTCAACCTTCCCTAAATCTTCTTCATTTAAATACAAAGTTGAGGAGAAGGATGAGGATGGAAAATTTAAATTAGGGTGTTGGAGTTGTAAGAGCCTTTGCCCCTAGTGCAGCTCTTAGGGATCCTATTAAGCGATGAAGCAAATATTATACATAAGAGTTATGGAAGATGTTGGAATTATAGGTAGACGTGATCAAGGAGCTTTAGACTTTTCAAGGATGAGTAAAATAGGTTCTAGCTAAGAAGTTGAATGAGACTCGTAAGGTCTTATATCATAAGCCACACAATATAAGCTTTAATATTAAAGTTGGTTGAGATAGAGCAGAATATCTAATTCTTGTATGTTAAGCTCATCAATGCAAATAAGGATGTTTGCAACAAAGGACATCACATCCAAGAGAAACTTTATAGCTAGAGTAAGTACACAAGTGAGCATAAGCACTCAATGGTGAGTACAAAGGTTAAATCGTAGCCTACGAACCCTTAGGAGTTAAATTCTTGGGCAAGATAAAGGTGAAGTTCGGGTGTGGGTCTCACCATTGATCATCTTAGATAACTTTGTCTAGAGGCACTATCGCATGTGAGAGTCAGGATCTATAGCCCATATTGATAAGCTTGATTGGTGTACTATAATAATAAATTGCTATCTTCCAAGCTTTTACAATACATTATGAAATTATTATCTTTCCTTTTAACTTTATATCTCATCTTATCAAATTTCTTAGAGTTATATATCAAATTTAAAAACAAATTGTTTTATGGTATGATTTTCAGTATGTATGTCATATGAAGATTGAGAGTAATTCTAAGTTTTACCCTTAGAAGTTGGTTCCTCTAGTCACATATCTACAAATCAATTCCCTTAAACTTGAAGTGGCTATTAGTTTCATGACGAATTCACATCAGTCATAATAAACTTCGCTTAAAGATGCAATCACTTACGAAAATCCATGAGACTATTCAATTAGGTTCACTTAGATCTTAGAATGACAAGCCCATGCTCTAAAACAACTCATTAATATTTTACCAAATCAGTCGACAGCTTCATCTAGTGATAGTTTGGTTTCGTTTGGAACATCTTTCTTGTTGCTTTCTAAAACAACCTTATAATACAAAATTTTTAATTTAAAAAAATTTTATTAAAAAGATCCTATAAAAATTAGTTTAAAAAAAAAACTATCTTAAACCAAGCCTTATTCAATTACCAACATATATTATTTTCATATTTTACCTACATGCCTCATAGAGTCTTACACAAGTAATTATTAAATTTGTACTATCATATTAATCATTTTAATATTTCTATATTTATATACTTTATATCACAATCTTATATAAAACTTCAATTGCGGCAACTCTCTTACTGTTTTATGAAACAATTTCTTAATACAAAAAATTTTTTAATTTAAAATTTTTGTACTAAAAAAAATGTTTTATAAAACAATAAGAAAGCTATCCAAATAAAGCCTAAAATATAAGAAAATTAAAGCTTATCATTAGAAAACCAACCCCACAAGCGACTTAATCCTGTGGGATTGATCACAAGTCTACTTTTATTCCATTTTTCTAATTAGAAACTCAACCAAAATACAATTTTCCAATGCCAGATGATAATAAGAAGCATATATGGCTAATTAATAAACACAATTTTGCAAATTTAAGCATTGGAAGGGGAAATTAATAAAAATTTACCATGCAAACAAAAGTTCATGAAGATCACAAGGGATAATTAGAAGGAAATAACAAATACATATTTATTGTCTTAAAAAACACCAACTTGAATCAAGCATCTCAATCAAAGCTTCAATCATTCTCTTCATGGGGAAGGTACTATGCAACAAGCACATAAATGGCATAAATTATGCCTGGTATGTACCCCAATATGGTAAGCAAAAGGTCAATCCAAAACTCCACCTACACATAACAAAGAATTAGGCATATATTGATGAGGGATAAAAAAAGATCATAACATTCTTATGTGTTTTTTTTTTAATCTATTGAATTTATTTCAAGCTGAGTATAATAAAAATTAAAAAGATAATATTGATAAAATAGTATAATATAATTTATATTATGATGAACTTAAATTTTGATGAATTTGCTTTGAGATCAGTGCATTATGCATTTATTAATCTTGAAGCAAGTCCAAAAAGCATATTTTAATTCAAATTTTTTATTATTATTAAAAAATTGTGATTTAGGGAAAAAAAGGCTAAAAATAGGCTTTATATTTCGTTTGGATTCAAAAAATTGTACTAAAATTATGTTGTCAAAAGCAGTGAGAAAACTAGTAAAAGAAATCTTAATCTTAAAATAAATTCAATAATTTTAAATTATATTTTCATCATAAACCAAATTGTTTTCCACTTAAGAACATAAGAAACTACAACGAAGGAATAAACAATGAAAAAGAAATGATTAACGACTTTTAAAAATTTAGAAAAAAAAATAATTTATCCATATTTAAAAAAGATGAAGCTTCCATAATATATAAGATTATCAGATAATTAAGAACAATTTGTTTAAATTATATATAATTACATAATATTTTTTCAAAGTTAAAATTTTCACCATTGAAGAGGATAATGAGCAAACAGTGAAGAAACTCACCCCACAGCCATAGCGGAGGAAGACACCAACAGGAGGCAAGAGAATTGCCAGTACCACCTCTAAGAACGTCGCCGATCCCATCTCTCTCTCTCTCTCTCTCTCTCTCTCTCTCTCTCTCTATTTAGATCTCTTTCTCTTTCTCTCTTTCTTGATTTATACCCTAAAATTTATATGAAAAAGTAGTGAGAGAACTTTCGAGGCTTATGGTCTTTTGTAGCTGAAGCTGGCTTAGTTTGCGGCCACGTGTATTTCAATGCACGACACGTGTATGCGTTGAGCAGAAGCTGCAGGTAGGATAAGGTTGGTTTTGTTTTTATCTTTGTTTTTTTCGAAGTCTAGAATAATTTAAGATTTTTTTTTTTTATTGCCTTTGTATAACTATGATGTAAGAGAGTTTGTATTAAGTGAAATTTGTGTGGGGTTGTTTTCTAATTTAGATTTCATTTGTGATTATTTTCTTACTGTTTTTTAGAATAAATTTTTAGTACAAGATTTTATAGTCCACGTAATATGACTAAAAGGACTGAAAGGTTGATTACATCCTTATATTAGTTAATGTTAGCATTGACGGTATAACTTGAATCAATTAACTCGGAGATGTATCAAATTTCGTGCTTATAATTCTTTGGATGAGCTACTTGTAGGACATTCGATTGGTGCAATTGAGCAAACCGCATAGAATTTTAAATTCGCATCAATCGCAATGAGTAATTATTATTTATTATTGGATAGACATACCCTTCTATGTTATGAGTCTTGTATCAAGATATTAGATTGCTAGTCAAGTTTTTAGTTTTATTTGTTATTATGCATATGTAATAATTTTTATTATTTAGTGTTTATGATAATAGAATAATGTAGTAGATGTAATCTAACTTTATTTTATTGTTACATCAACTCTCATTCATTTAATGTATTTCTTGCCATAGATAATTTAATTTCTACGCATTAGTTTTATTAAGAGTTGTTTTGAGATAGCTTTCTGTCTGCTTTCATTTTTAGGTAGCTAGTAAGCACAATTTTATTTAGTAATTACTTTCTTGCTACTTTATCACTTTTTTTCATAAATTTCAGTGGTGGAAAGTTACTCTTTACAATCATATTAGTGAAGTTGTTTTCTCCACAGCAACACATCTTATAAAAAATTGTAATCATCCCAAACAGAACCTAAATATGATAAATGATCATACTGCAATTCATATTGGATGTAAAATTTATAATTATCATATTAATTATATAATACATGTTGAAATGTGTAAAAATATAGGCAATGTATGGTTATGAATAGATCAATAGAGCCCTATTGGATATTGACTAGCCGAGCCAAAAAGCACGCGTAATGACTACTTTGTAAAAAAATCGTTTGAATTTCTTAGGTTATTGTTTATCTTCCCGTAACAAAGTGGACTAAGTAGAGATAGACCTAATAAGTATTTATTTAAAAAATAGAAATGACCTTTTTTATTTTATTTAAAAGGGAATTTGACTCTTAACATAGTACAATAGAGAAAAATGATTCATATAGCTGACCCAATGTAGTAGGATACATGCTTGTTTTTGTTGTCACTTTAAAGGTAGATCGTTTTATACTTTTTTTTATTTAACCTTTTTTATCTAATTATGTTTGTTCAAAATAACTAAAATTTTATCTTGATTTATTTTAATAAACTTTTTATTTTGCCATCCTTCTATTTAAATTTCGTACTCAACCCACTTGCATTTTAAAGACTTTTTTTTAGGAGATATTTATGTCAATTATGACAAACTCATACACATAATATATACTCAAGACTCAAACTCAAGATAGTCAAGACATCTTGGTTGAAAGCCAAAGCCCCTAAACGAATAGACCAAGTTGAGTTCGGCATATTTTTAAGACATGACATCAAAATGTTTTTTATAGGGAGGGGGAGGAATAGGGGAAAAACATGCCCAATTTCATTTCAAAAATGAAAGGTTGTAAAAATTATAGTAGTTTGGTAAGAAAAAACATGCAAAATTAAAAGAAAGAAAAGAAAAATTCTAAACGAAAGCATACGCAATCTAAACAAAACTCCTTAGAGAAGGAGAAAAAAACCAAAACAACAAACAAGACTAGTAAAATTAGTCCTAAACAAGAAAATATCAAAATGAATTAGCCATGGAAACCAATTCTAGCTAAACCAGCAGAGAGACAGCTCCCATATCCATCCACCGGAACAAAGATAAAGAATCTAACTTCTAACCAAGTCATCCAATAGCAGCAGGATACTCCAATTAGAATCCAACCAACCTGCAAAGAGATAAAAACAAAAACAAGAAGCTGAACACAGCTCCTAATCTAGCAACTTACAAATCTATCGAACACCTTCCAATCAAACCAACTAAATGCAACTAGAGGTCTCTAGAAGATGCTAACCAAGCATTAATTAGACATAACCAATACCAGAAGATAGACTATGAGCCAAAAACAACAACAAACCGAGCCAACAAACACCTACAATTCAAAACAACAAGTCAAATAGCAGAACAAGACAAAAAAAAAACTAATAGAGAATCAAAACAGAGAAACAAATTAAATCCCAAAAAATAGCAAAATGAAGATAAGCAAAAATGAATAAAAAAACATCAACACCTTCCACCAAGACTAAAGAAAGGGAAACCTTCATCACAACCCCAAAAAGCAACAGAAAAATTCAACCTTGGTTGTTAGACCCAACCATCCAAGGAAAAACATATGGTTGCCAAGCCAACCATCCAAAGAAGAAAAGAGAAGGAAGCCCAATCATCATTATAAAAAACATAAAATAAACCAAACGATATAAAGAAATAAAATCAAAATGAACACATAAAACACCATCCCAAAAAAACCAATCAACAAAAAAACAAAGCCCCAGGCAAAAACCTAGCACAAGGGACCCTAAGTAACAGAGCCCTACATTGGGTGCCCATACCCACACCCTCCCACGTACCCAGGTATGGGTACGCCCATGACCTCGTGGGTGGATATGAGTGGGTACTCAACATCAGAGGACAAACTAATTTACATTAAGACATAACCAATACCGAAAGATAGACTATGAGCCAAAAACAACAACAAACCGAGCCAACAAACACCTACAATTCAAAACAACAAGTCAAATAGCAGAACATGACAAAAAAAAAAACTAATAGAGAATCAAAACAGAGAAACAAATTAAATCCCAAAAAATAGCAAAATGAAGATAAGAAAAAATGAATAAAAAAATATCAACACCCTCCACCAAGACTAAAGAAAGGGAAACCTTAATCACAACCCCAAAAAGCAACATAAAAATTCAACCTTGGTTGTTAGACCCAACCATCCAAGGAAAAACATCTGGTTGCCAAGCCAACCATCCAAAGAAGAAAAGAGAAGGAAGCCCAATCATCATTATAAAAAACATAAAATAAACCAAACGATATAAAGAAATAAATCAAAATGAACACATAAAACACCATTCCAAAAAAACCAATCAACAAAAAAACAAAGCCCCAGGCAAAAACCTAGCACAAGGGACGTTAAGTAACCTCTCTGACTAACCCAAAATAACCAATAAGAAAAAACAACACAAAGTAGCTAAAAATAACCAAGCAAAATTGGAAGCCAAAAAATATAGAAGAACCCTCACAAATTAAAAAACAAAATGCTTGATTTTGTGAAATGAAGCTCAATTGGAAGCCTTAGCCCTAATAGCAAACCTAATGCTCTTACAAATTGAGTTGGAACAACAAAATTTATTATCAAATTTCTTGCAACTTTGTTCATTCCAAATGAAATAGACAGAGCAACAAGCAGATAGAAAAAATAAGTATTTAACATTAAAAAATCAATCTAATGCCCAAATAAAATTTAGAATTTGAACTAAATTTGGTACAAGCAAAAAAAAAAAACTTAACCCATGCACAACTTTAGAAATAATCCTGAATGAAAAAACACATTCATAGAATAGATGGTTATGACGTCTTCAACATTAGAATAAAGGATACAAGTTAAAGGAACATTCAAATTCCTTTTAGCCAATAAATTAGCAATTTTCAAACTATTTAAAATGGACATCCAAGCAAAACAAGAAAATCTCATAGCATATCTTTTATGCCAAATATAAGAGTACCATTCCACTCTGGTAAGATTTTTGTAAAAAGCATTATCAAAAGTCTTAAAGAAAAATACATCACTCCATCCCAAGAAAAATTATAGATTTCTTGTTTCTTAATATAAATAGTAGAAGTAGCCACAATAATATTATTAGGAACGTAATCAGGAATCATCCATATGCCATGAGAAACCCAATCACCAATAGTACTTAAATTGATCAAATTATTTAGAATATTAATGATAACCTCATGAAGAGCTCTTCCTTTTAACCAAGGATCTCAATACAAAGATAAAGAACAATTAATGGTAATATTAAAAGAAATTTTACTTTTAATGTCTCTAGTAATGATATAGAGATCATTCTAAAACTTAGAATCCTTTCGAGAACAAAGTTTCCAATAAGAAATGTATTTGTATTTAATCCAAGAAGCTAAAAGGCAATTACCATTAATGATACGACAAATAAGAGAACAACTATATGCAAAATTAAGGCATCATGATCCGGTATACCAAGCCCCCTAACCTTTTAGGCTTGCAAATCTCTTTCTAAGAAGTCATATGAATTTTCTAACAGAAGTTTCACCATAAAAAAAGAAAATTAGAACAAGCTTTCTTAATAAATTTAAAACAAGTTTTAGGCAAAGAAAACCCTATAATCCAATACGAAACACCATTGGAAAAAGTAAAATTAATAAACTGGAATATTCCCGCTAAAGATAAAATCTTAGCTATCCAACAAGCAAGCTAGAAGAGTTGTAATTTTATTAAGAAAAGGCTGAAAATCTACTAGAGTGAGCCTTTTAATTACTAGAAATAGGCAGCCCTAAATATTTCATTGCATTTTGAGAAATAGGAATACCCTCTAACCAATTTCCTTTGATATAGAACAACCCTAGAGAAATTGATAAAGCTTTTAGAATGATTGATAAATAAACCAAAAGCCTTAGAAAAATAATCCATTATTTCCACCAACTTTTTCACATTATAAATAAAAGCTTTACCAAAAATAAAAACATCATCAGCATAAAGTAAATGAGAAACAGAACTCTCTTCAGAATTAACCCTCTCAAAATGATCTACTTGATACTTATTTTCCTGAAGGTTAGCTAGATAAATCATCCATAATAATATAGAAAAGATAAGGTGAAAGAGGACACCCTTGACAAAGATCAGAAGAAGAACTAAAGAAACCATTAATAGAACCATAACACATTAGAAAAAAAAAATATCTTTAATACAACTTTTAATCTAAGAAATAAAAATCTTAGGAAAGTCTTTCTAAGTCAATCCATTATAAAGAAATTCTCTAGATATAATATCAAAAGCTTTATGTATATCTAATTTTGAGTGAAAGAAATTATCTTTACCCAAACAATTTAATTCTTTGAATAATTCAGAACCAAGAATAATATTATCCATAATAAATATCTTTTTAATCAAACCTAATGCTAGAATGAATAATAAAAGGCATCACATCCTGCATCATGTTTTTAATACAATGCAAATAGTATAATATTCTATTTGGAGAGTATAATGTGGAGCTATTTACTTCCTTAAATTTTTATTTTTTTATATAGCTTATGTATAGATTGTAAATAGGTACTTTATATATAAGAAGAAAAGGAGAAACTTTTCACTTGAGCTTGAGCTTTTTGATATGAATATTTCTAATGCTTATTTGCAATCAACCTTTGTTCTATGGAATAATATTGTCAAGATATTCTCCCATCAATAAATATACATAGGAAAAAGTTCATTGAGTATGACAAATAATAAATAATATTTCAGATCCACCAATTTAAAAATATATAAAAATTATAATTTAAATGAAACATAAAAAAATAGTCTTTAGAAAATAAAATAGCATATAGTATAATAACTTTCCAAGTTATTATTATCTTAAAAGATAATATTATCAAACCATATCTTTCAAATACACATCATGGGTATGCATCTTTCATATAAGTTATATCATAATTTTATAACCATAAATAGCTTATTTACAATTATTACATCTCCCCTTAATTTTTTTTTTTTTTTTGCAACATTTGAGCCATTAAGGCAAACTCACAAACATCTTATATATAAGCTTTAAACTCAAGACCTCTTGATTAGTAGTCAAAGCCCTCAACCAGCAGATCAAGATGAGCTGCGTCCTTAATAAATATATATAATTAGACCTCTTTTTAAGTGTTGAAATCAAGGAGTTGCTAATGGAGGCTTTTGCCACCCTTAATTTGAAATAAATCCTCTAATATTAAGCATTTCAATGAAAATTTCACCATCAAAAAGTTAAATGCATAATGTAATTTAATATCAATCATATTTTATGACTAATCATTAATCATGAATATTTTTAATATTAGTATATTTATCATATTATAAATATCATAATTATATTAATTAATTCATTTGAATCTAAATTTATTTATTTTAGTTATTATTGATAATAATTTAAAAAATTAGTAAAGTAAAAAAAACTCTTTGAAACCCTTCAACTGCCAAGAAAGGGTTTTAAGAAGCAACCCTCTCAAAACACTACAAAAAATATACTTCAATTCAAAAGTTCTATTATTGTTACAAAATGTTTTGCATCATATTTTATGGATTTAAAAAATTGCAAATGATTTTCAGCAAGCATTATAAGAAAGTCACAAAATATCTCAAAATGTAGCATTTGGTATCAACAACCAAACATTTCCCTATTATTTCTAATGCATGATAATTGTTGCCAAACATGATAAAAATGACCATATATGCTCACATTGATCAACTAATTCGGTTGGTTTTAAATTTATCTATTTTATTCCTAAACAATTAGCTTAGCAATAAAGATTATCAACTTACTATTATAAAATAAGATAGAAACTACATTGATAGCATATATTGAGAAATATACTATGATGAGTTTTGAGGAAGAATCAATTAATAATTTTGATGAAATAAAGAAGCACCAAATGTAAATAAAAATATTTAATCATAATAGTTCGATTGATTTTTTTTTTTTTTTTAGTTTTAAATGCTGTTGAGAAACATAAAATAACTTAAGTGTTGCAGAGATGAGAATGATCAGGTAGATAAGTGGCTTCACTCTTAGAAAGAATGTGAAACGAGAATATATGTGAAAGGTTGGAATGACTTTAGTGACAGATAAAATTAGAGAGTATCGCCTTAGATGATTTGGACATAAAATGTTGGTCTTTTGATGACCCGATTATGATAGTAGATATATTTGATTTGGCTTATATTAAGATGAGTAGATGTAGACTTAATAAGATTTTGTTAAAACATATTAGAAATAACTTTTTTATTAGATTTAGACGAGAATTTGACTCTTAACATAGTACAATAGAGAAAAATGATTTATATAGCCTACCCCGTGTAGTATGATACCTGCTCGTTGTTGTTGCCGCTTTAAAGATTGTTCTTTTTATACTTTTTATATTTAATCTTTTTTATCTAATTATGCTTGTTCAAAAATAACTAAATTTTTTATTTTAATTTATTTTAATATTTTTTTTTATTTTACCATCCTTTTATTTCATAAAAAAAACTCAAATTTAATAGATTTTGATTGAGAGCCAAAGCTCCACGAATTGATCAATATGAGCTGGGCAAATTTTGAAGACTTGAAATCAAAATGTCAATTAGATTCGGTAGCGTTAGATGGGTCCACTATATAGTACTCTGGTCATTGTCTTCCCGCCCCAGCAAAAAACCTGGGAATAGCTCGCGGAAGAAACAGAGCAATCCAGGTAAAAGAAAGAGGGATCGAGGGAGAGAAATATAGAGGGCCTCTTCTTCCTGCATCTATGCTTCAAGACGCAATTTATCAATGTCTTTTTTGACATCAGATCCCTCTAGGTGAACAATCTCTGCTTTCGTTTCTCTTTCTTCTACTTCGTTATAACTTTATCCCAGAGATGAAAGGAGAAAACTGAGCCCTTGCTTGCCTGGTTCTTCTCTTCTTTACCCTCTTCTTCTTTAGTGACCGAATTGCGACCAAGCAAACTCTCTATGGCTTCTTGCCTTTTTCTTTCTTCATATTAGAAATCTTTTATTGTTTCTCAATCTCTTCCCTCCTCTCACTCACCCATTCCACATTGTTTGAGGTCTTCTTGTTCTTGTTTGAAGGTCGGAGGAGAAACCACAAATTGACTCAAACCAGCCATCGACATCTTCGCAGGAAAAAGAACAGTGTAAAGCTTGCACCTTTGATAGATCTCCATCAGAAATGGTTTCCCACTACAGCAAAAATAAGGGAGAAACTCATCGGTTTTGCTCAGCTTGCCTCAAATATCTTATATATTTGCATGGCTACCCTGCTACCTGCGCCTTCTGTGAAGAATCTCTCATTGATGAAGATTATTGGCAAGTCTTGTCACCAAACCTTAAGGAATTGGTGAGCATGCTCAAAGAAGAGAAATCCATTCCTGCTAAGGAAAAAGCCTACTGCGCAAACCAACGGTGCTCGGCTCTGCACTCAAAGGCTGAAGCGAGGCTACCTGAAGAAGAACTCTCCAAGCTAGATTATGACGCTTCTGGACTTGCAGAGTGCAAGAAATGCAAGCAGCGTTTCTGCTTGAACTGCCACGTTCCGTGGCATGATTTCATGTCATGTGAAGATTACAAGAAATCTGATCTTGCAAGGGAGCGCGAGGTTGATGATAAGAGGTTGTTCAGGCTTGCAGAGAGGAAATTATGGATTACGTGCAATGAATGCGAAAGGATTATAGAGCTATATGGAATCTGCAAGAATGTTCATTGCAGGCATATTTCTTTAATTTCTCTAATAATCTTTTGAAAAAAAAAATTTGATTTATTTGAAGAGGTGATGAGTTATATAATTGCATACAATAGAATAAAAATAGAAAATAAATATGATTTTAACAAATGAAATTCAAGCACTTTGTTTGTTGTTTTCTTTTTAAATAACTTGATGAGAATCTTCTTACAGGTGCGGAAACAAGTTCAGGAGCACAAATCGCAAAGATTAATAACTGCAGAAAGGAATAAGTAATAAGTTTGTGCTAATTCTGACGAAAGGGGAGATGATCTTGCTGGTGATAAAGACTGGTGCTGCTTACATAGTTTCTTTGTACTTTTGGAGTAGAGGAGGTGATATTTTACATTCAGCTATGTTGGCGGGTTGTTGAAGTTTTTTAGAGTATTTTTGTTTAAGACTGCTTCATTTGTTTGAGTTCATCTTTTGGAGATTAGTAATGCATGATTAAGCTGATAATGATGAAGGCTTCGTTTGAGATTACAGTAATATAAGATATACGATGATTAATAATGTAAATCGATTTATTCCCAGATATTGAGTATCCACCCATTCCCAACCACAAAGTCATAGGCGTATGTATAGTATACCCATACCGATTGAGGATTGAGTATTGGTTGATACATGAGTGGGCGTAAATATGAATATTCAATACAGTGCTAAAGATAAAGACTTCTTCTCTTTATAATGGGAACTTCATGAAGCCACTTTCTCATCTCCTTTAAAATCATTACCTCCACATAGCAACTTGCTACAAAATTCATGCCCTCAATGAGCATCATCACTATCAATGGCAACCAAATTAAATCCAAAAATGATACCTCACAACAACATAGATTGAAGCCATAAACAACAAAGGGTGTCCTTGTTAGCTCTAACAAGAACTCTTCAGGGAAGAGATTTCACTTCAATTCGGAAGTCGAAGGTGTTTTATTTTGTCACAGCGCTCGAAGCTGCTCTAAGCATTACAAACCATTGCATGAACATCAAACTAAATCAACTAACAATCAAGCTGATCAATGAAGAACTTCAAACCTCCAGGTACAATATCTAGAGCTCGTTTCTAATATTATCATTGTGAAATAGCCAATATAAGCTAAAAGATGCGTACAGTTTTCAAGAGCAAGAGGATATTCGGAGAAAGCTACTCAGACAAGCTAACCAAAACACTTCAATGCACATAGCTTAACATATTAAAGTTGAAATAAACCATCAGATTCCTCAATAGAAAATTAGTTCAAACTCACCAAATATCCGCAAATACAAACACAACAAATAATCAAAATCCCACCGCCACCGTCTATCAAGCACCCAGTTCTGCAAATAGATGCCAGACAGCGATACCGGATTAGACACAGACCATAACCTACATAACTCACGATACAAGGCACTGTAAATAAATACTAAAACACCAGTAGCAAAGCTTCATCACTTTTCACTTCTTCTTGGCAGCGGATTTCGTCACCTTGGCACCAGAGGCATCCTTCTTCTCCACGCTCTTGATAACCCCAACAGCCACAGTTTGTCGCATGTCCCTCACAGCAAAACGACCGAGAGGAGGATACTCGGAGAAAGTTTCAACAACCATGGGCTTAGTTGGAATCATCTTTACAAAGCCTGCATCACCATTCTTCAAAAACTTGGGCTCCTTCTCAAGCTCCTTGCCTGATCGCCTATCGATCTTTGTAAGGATCTCAGCAAATTTGACAGCAATGTGACAGGTGTGGCAATCTAGGACTGGAGCATATCCATTGCCAATCTGACCAGGGTGGTTCATGATGATAACCTGGGAGGTAAAGTTGGCGGCTTCCTTTGCGGGATCATCCTTCGAGTTCGATGCGACGAAACCTCGCTTTAGATCCTTCACAGCCACATTCTTCACATTGAAACCAACATTGTCTCCAGGGAGGGCCTCTTGTAAAGCTTCATGATGCATCTCAACGGACTTAACTTCAGTTGTCAGACCTGTAGGGCCAAAGGTTACAACCATACCAGGCTTCAAAACACCAGTTTCGACACGTCCAACAGGCACAGTACCAATGCCTCCAATCTTGTAGACATCCTGAAGTGGGAGCCTTAATGGCTTGTCAGTTGGCCTCTTGGGCTCTTGGATCAAGTCAAGAGCATCAAGAAGAGTTGGACCTTTGTACCAATCAAGATTGGTGGACCTCTCAATCATGTTGTCACCCTCAAAACCAGAGATGGGTACAAATGGGATCTTTTCAGGGTTGTAACCAACCTTCTTCAGGTAGGAAGATACCTCCTTGACAATTTCATCATACCTTGCCTTGGAGTATTTGGGTGTGGTTGCATCCATCTATCACAATCAACGTATGCAGTAAATATACTAGAGAAATAACATGGATATAACATAAGTATTTGATAAGTATTATCGTTCAAGAAACAAAAATCTCAGTTCAAATGATTAAGTAGCATGTAATACTACGTAAATGAACGTTTTGAAGATAGAAACCTGCACATGCATGATTATAAATAAACTGACAAATGCAAATAAGATTTGGACTGTCAGAATTGACAAGCCAAACTTCAAATGAATGGACGCAAAATAATAATATCAGACCAATTTAATCAAAATACATTTCCCAATTTTACACATATTTGCTAACGTTAATGCAGACTTTGATCCATAAACTGTCTTATAATAGATGTCAAAATCTACTTTTGCAGGCAACTCAGGCCTAGTTTGATTGGTCATTTTGTGCTTATTCCTTTTTAATTTTAAATTTACTGTTTGCTTCCTCAAACCACGTTCCCAATAACACCGTTTTCTTTTCATTTTTCTACTGTTTTAAGAAAGCTTTTTATATATGCTTCCCCGTTATAAAACTCCTTTCTCTAAACCGATGTTTCTTAAAACTACCTTTTACAAAAGTACCTGATAACCAAACAAAGCATCATTAAGTCAGACACTTAAGAAAATACTGATTAAATATACCAAAAAGAAAACATGAAAAAAGTAAAACCATACACAAATGCACATCTTTCATGGAATATTAAAATTGTTTATACCATGCAGTAATGAACATGAAATGCAAAAATGAAAAACGAAATAATGAAGGAACACCCACAAAACAACAGGAAATAACGGTAGATGAAAAGAGCCATGATTTAACCTTGTTGCAGCAGCAAATCATTTGCTTGACACCAAGAGTGAAGGCAAGCAAGGCATGTTCACGTGTTTGTCCGTCCTTAGAGATGCCTGCTTCAAAACCACCAGTTGTAGAATCAATGATAAGGACAGCGCAATCTGCTTGAGAGGTGCCAGTGATCATGTTCTTAATAAAGTCACGGTGTCCAGGAGCATCAATGACAGTGCAATAGTACTTGGTGGTCTCAAACTTCCAAAGAGCAATGTCGATTGTGATTCCACGCTCCCGTTCTGCCTTCAGCTTGTCAAGAACCCAAGCATACTTGAATGATCTCTTGTTCATCTCAGCTGCTTCCTTCTCAAATCTCTCTATTACACGTTTGTCAATCCCACCAAGCTTATAGATGAGATGCCCAGTAGTTGTGGATTTGCCAGAGTCGACATGGCCAATGACCACAATGTTGATATGAACCTTCTCCTTACCCATGGTTACTGTATCGGTAGCAAGCATACAATTATTAGAATTATCGTTCTTTGAGTGGATTGAAGGAAGAAAGACATAATATATGCATGCTTTAAGAGAAAATATGATATAATCTTATAAAATGGGAAAACCGCAACAGGTTTCATGGCGTCAAAAAAATTCTCTTCACACATAAAATAAAACATTGAGCTAGCATGCTCTAAACTTTGCATTCAAATAGCAAGATACAGAGAGAAAGAGTTAGACTACTATTCATTTAGATTGAAAGATTCATTTCTCCTTGCACATCTTTCACCCAAAATTTTGAATGGCTACCATCAAAAGTGGAAATAATAATTAAGTAATCCATGTTGTATTTCATTTGTTAAGATAGAATCATGGTAAATATTTCAGCTTCTAACAAAAAATTTTTTGCGAAATTTTGGGCCTGTATATTTAATGCAAAACCATAAACAAGCAAGCCTCCTTCAGTGAAGAAAAAAATGAATGTTTTTACCAAAAACAAAGAAAACAAATAAAAGCACTGAAATAAACAAATAAAATGTATGAGAGAGAGAAATCCAGAGCTATCGCTCTGAACATGAAAACTCCCTATTTTTCAAATTTTATATATGCCTCTAGAACAAAGCCATCAAGACGCTCTAAACATTGTATCTTGAAGCCGAAAGGAGAGACATGTGTAATACAAATAACCATATATTTCTTAAGTTATTTGCATGAAATCTTGAGACCAACAAGGGTACGATTGAAAGCCATCCCAACACTTATTAAAGAATCAAGAAGATATAAATGGAGATGGTAAAGAAACATAAAACTAAAAACAGAGGCCTTTATCCCAATATTTCTCTCAGATTAAACAACTTCGAACAATACAGACAAACATGATGATATAACCACACAGCAGCGTCTTGATTTCGTAGATCTACAAAGATTACAAACGTTTAAACGGGATCTATCGTCCGATTAAATTATTAATTAGCGAGAAAAACTGCTGAGACGAAAAAAAAAAGACACGCACAGCAGAAACAGCAGAAACCTACTAAAGACATCAAGATTTTATAATCCTCCGGTACAAACTTCAATCTAAATAATATAAATCAAAAAAGCTTGTGAAAAGAAAGAAAGAATGCAAGACTTCAGCAGCAAACCTTAGATCTTCAGAAGCGAAAGAGCGACGGCTGCTATAGGTGGGAAGCAGCAAAGAGGGCGCAGAAAGGATATCATTCTGCGTATTTATAGAGGTGGGGCAAAAGCCGCTCAAAGGGATCATCTAGGGTTTCCGTCCCCAGCCGGGCAAAAGAGGCGCATCTCGCCGTCCAACGTCAACAGTCTGGTCGGTCGGGATTTATTAGGGCTCGAGTTAGTTAACCCACACGGTTGTCACGAGGTTAACTAGAGTAAATGCACTGTTTAAATAATAATAAATTAATTATTATGATAGAAAATAGGGGGTGTAAAAGAGTCAGCTTACACAACTCTCCTTGGCCTATTGGTTGAGAGCTTAGGCTTCCAACTAAGAGGTCCAAGGTTCGAGTTTATGTGTATACGTTGTGTGTATGAGTTTGCCTTTATTGGCCTAAATGTCTAAAAAAAAGAGTCAGCTTGAGTTTGATTGATTAATCTAATTAGAACTGGAGCTATTCTATGAGGTTGAGCAGGTTAATTTATTATGAAAAAAGATAAATTAATTATGATATAAGAAAGCAAAATAAATAAATAAATAAATAATATATATAAGGGGATGAAAAATTAATTTAAGAATGAACCAAAATGGAGGATATAAGGACATATTCAAAAGCAACTGGTACTTAAAATCCCGATTTCAATAGAAACTGATATATACTCATCATGTTTCAATATAAATCAGAACTTTCTCATCTAGTTTCTATTGAAATCGGAACTTCCTCACTCGGTTTCAATAGAAATCAGAATTCCTCTATCATTTATGAATAATTTGTACTAATTATATGTATAATTTATTATATATTTAAGTAAATTATTACAATATGATTTAAATTATATATTATGGACATTATAGTGTATTACATTTATATCAAAATAATATATTAATTGAACAGTAACGAATAGATGATGATATTTATTTAAGTATATGATTTGTAATAGTTAATGGTTCTTTCGTAACATGACAGCTCTGTAAAAAATAATTATTGTATAATTGTTGTGGACATTGAATTCATCTATTCAAAATTCTCATTCAGAGCATAGGATCCTTAAGGTGGTTCGTTCATTGTGCATTAACATGCCTTGTAGCTTATAGGCAAATGAAATGTGTTTGTGGAAGGGCCCATCGCTCGACAAGGACATTGATTAGGTAATGGTCTAGCCTAACATAATGTACATGTCATATCACATCCATTCTAACAAGGTGCCCTCTATAAATGAATCTTCGACAAACAACTAGTCACTTTTGTGTCATGTGTAGGTGAGCAGCCTCTAATAACACAAAAGCCTATGGATTTAAATAAAATTGTTACGAATACATCAAACAATTTTTGCAAGGTTGACTAACAACAAAGAAAATGACAACATATGGTCCAAATTAAAATCTAATAATGTCCAGCACACTTCAAGAAAACACATTAGTACATTTTAGCCTTCAAGAATATTAGTTATTTGATGCTATTGAACAATGTCTTTACATGGATATTTATGTTTTTTAGTATATATTGAAGTTGTTTATATCTGTTATGTGTATAGCTGTCTTCTGGAAGTGTTTTTGTTTATGTTTGCAGGTGTGGAAATGCAATTGTTGGCTGTGAATGATTTTTTTTTTGTCAATGCTACAGGTTTTCGAATGATTTTGTGTCGGAAATACTACGAAAATGACAATACAACGAATCATTACAATCATGTCGTCGTTTATTTGGACGACGAAAATTTCCGGCGCATTATATACCATCCTTTCCACCGGCGTCTTTCGGCATCCGTTATGCGCCGTAAACAAGTCGTAGCTTATTTACGGTGCATCTACGGCGTTTTATCCACCAGTAATTTCAGCGTATCCATACGACGTAAACTTCTGGCGTAGTTATCGCCGGAATTTCCGATTGAAAATCGCCGGCTTCGCGAGCATTTTTTGCACCAGTAATGCGTTGGAGATGGCGCCAAAACGTTTTCCGGCGTCTTAAAAACGCAGGAAAGTTTTTTCCGACGCGAACCAAACCGGCGCACAAAAATCCGCCGTAAATGCGCCAGAAACGTAGGACTTCCGTCTGATTTTACATGTTATCGGCGGATATATAATAGCGGGTTTTCCTGTAGTGATATTTTATTGTCTAGCATTTTGGTCATGTGTTTGATAATTTTCTAAACCAATAGGGATCGAATCCCACATACAGCGCACAATCCCGAGCCGGTGGGTATATTAACGGGCAGTTGAGTAGCTAGGTGGGGCAGGGTGTCCAGGAGGCGGGCAGCATAGAATTTGAGCTTGGCGGGAAGATAGCAGGCAGCGCAGGAAGCCTTCTAGGCGGGCGAACAGGGAGCTTGGGAAGCCGAGGGAAGGCCAAAATATTATTTTTTTGGCCGCCGAAAATTTTTACTGCCCGAAAAGGCCGCCGAAAAATTTTTTCTTACGTGTGTTTTACCGCCGTAAATTTTTCCGTCAGAAAACCCCCGACAAATTCTAAAGCTACCAAAAAATGATCAATTTCTATTAGATATTATCCCCGGTAATATGTGATTTTGTTGTAGTGTATTCAATTATTAAAAAATGAAAAATGGCTCAAATAAATTTTAATAAATTAGGATATGCTTGGAATAGTGATACACATTCATGAGATGTAGGCTATAAAATGAAGGCCCACCCAAGTGCAAAATAATAATATGGAATATGTGAAATTTCACTTAAAAAATATAAATATCATGTAAATGATTAAACCAACATTTAGAAAATTTAGAGATGTATATGCCGACTCAAAGGCATTTCATAAATTTTTTTTAATTGATTTAAATAGGTTTTATATTTCAAAAATAATAAAAATTACTAATATTTAACATTGTTGGCTAAAATCACATTATAATATTTGAATTTGTTCATATTGATCTCATTTTTATATGAGGTCATTAGATACTACCCAAACTCCTTATCATAAATCTGATGATTAATAATCACCCATCTATCAATCATCTAACCAACAATCAACACCAAAAAAAACCTCCAGTCAAACTTCAATTGAACACTAATCAGAATTCCTACATTCAATATATAAATCAACTTGCAATCACATGGACAATTACAACCTTGCACTGTAATCATGTCGTTCAGTGCATTGCCTAGCTCAGCGCACTGACATCATTAGTCTAGCTCACAACCAACAACCAATTCACTTAGCCTGTAATCAATCAACACTTTAATCTTCTAAACAATCTAGTCTATAAACCAATCAGTATGCACTTCCAGCATTCAATCATCAACATTCAACTACAATAATTGCCCTACTAAATAAAAATAAATTTTGAAAGAGATTCAATAACTTAATTTAAAATAAAAAATAATTAAATGAAACACAATTGAGATAAATTATTTTCTAATAATGGAATGTAAATACAATATGTTTCATAACGATTCTCTTTATTATTGATGATATTTAGAGCATATGCATTACCGACCGCTCAGTCAAGCGTAAAGAGATAAAGGATAGATTAAACACTTCCAACCTTAATATCACTCTAAACTCTCAAAGTCTGTCACCCTGTGAAAATCTTAAAAGAGTAAGTAAAGCATGAACTGTTAAAACTCTATCATGATAATTCATCTCTATAAATTTGATACATGACAAACACTATTTCTATGCTAGCTTGCATCATATCAATCCAATATATTCGGTTGTGTCTGCTTTTCTATTCCTAGGCTCATCATTACATCTATTATTAACTACACATATGACTACTATATGCGTTAAATGAAGACATGCTATATTGAAAATATCATAAAATTATTGATGAAGAGAACTCATTATTAATCCATATTTCATTTTCACCATCAATCCAAAACTAGAGAATTTGGTAATATATAAAGAATAAGTGAAGCATATTCATTTTTATTAATTGCAAAAAAGAAAGAAAGTATAGAAAAAAAGATGTCACCGGATGGTTCAATGATCTCATCTACACTCCTCCTTTAACTTACATAATTGCTTCCACAAGCACTCTAATAAAATGTATCTAGTACTTCTCTAAATTTACTTAGTTGTTACCCCTAAGGAAAAAACTCAGAGAAACACTATAAAGACTGAAATTAAATAAGTGTTTGAACTCTTCTACTAACATTACATACAGGTTATTTATAAAAAAAATATTGAAAATGGATTCTGGCGCCATGGCGCTTAAGACACTTATGCCCCAGCTCCCATAAAATGAACCAATGCCACAGCGTTGAAGGTTTCCTCTGTTGCGGTGCTTACTGATATGGACCTGTTATTTAATTAATCAACGCGTTGTTTCACTAGAAGATTGTGGCCTAAACAACTATAATTGTAGCGCCACGACACTACTGATGGTTGAGCACTGCGATGTCCATGTGACACTCCCTTGACTTAGCAGAATTAGAATTTGGCGTCCTGGCGCTGTGCAAAAAGAGACAGGGCTTTGCGGCACTGACTCCTCTGACGCTGATGTTACGACGCTGGGATACTTAGCTGGGCTCTGTGACATTGATTCCTTCAATGTTGTGGCGCTGTCAAACATAGACTGGGTGCTTCCATGTCCATATTCGACTCTACGGAGGTGTCAATGATGGTGCTTCAATGGTATTGTGTCCGATGTTGCTGCGCTATAACAACACATTTTTACTAACAAATTAACACATAAAATATAACATTATTTACACTCATCACTTGTTGAGTTTGATTTATTAAACTCACCTATTGCATCTTTTTACAACAGGTTTGGTAGGTGTGTTTGGTGGGCCATTACCTCAGGAGAAGGGTTTTCAACAGAAGCCTATTTTTAGTATTTTATATTTTTAATGGATTATTTTGAAGGTTGTGTAGTTTATTTTATGTTTACTATTCTATTTACATTCCTTCTAGTTGTCTCATAACTATCATTATTTGAATGTACTAATTATTTGTATTTAATTAATGAATTGGCTTTTAATTGACTCTCTTTATTCACTTTGGTATTTATATATCATGTTGTGTCACTTGTATATGAATGCTTCCCTTTTTAATACAAAACAAGTCTTATATCCCTTCATCGCATCCCGTGTTGCCGGTGTGTACCCCTTTTGGACCCAGGGTGTGACATGGACCTTAGAGGAAAACTTGTTGGTTTGTCCAATC